TTGTAGAAGGAAGAGTTTTAATAAAGAAATTAACTATTCAGTGTATGTAACTGCAAATTAATCATTTACTATTTTTCAGTAATGACTGTTCTCTCAGGACAGAAAGAATGAAAAATCCTGCCAGTTTGCATTGTGTAGTATTTTATAATTCAGAAATATGGTAGTACAATCTTGATATGTATTATGTATTTAAATGAATTGTTGCTAATACACAGTTAAACACTAGTAAAAGTGATAGTAATATACATTTTAAAAAAGAAGCCAACATTACATTGTTCCATCATATGAAATTCTGAGACCCATACATTTCAGAATATACTGAAAGTACATTTATAATTTTTTAGGTTAATTGAGACTGCTATGTGGGCAAACTACTGTGCTACCACCCCAGATGATCTTTACATTTAATAGAATGGGTTAAAGTTTTCAACAACTTATTATGTAAGAATATTAATTTATGCTGATTAACTAAGTTCTCAATTCTTTTTTTAGATATGTAGCTACATTGATGTATATATTTTATGTCCAAGCAGAATTGTTGTCTCTGGATATAGTCCTTCTGCAATAGTGGATCTGACAGCATACTCAATCTTAATAAGTGAGAACACCTTAAAAAGTGAAAACACAGCCAAACTTCCCAAACCTTCAAATATCTAACAATTTACTATATGGTGAACAGGGGTAGTCCTCAGTCATGCTGTTTACTTCAACAGCAAAAGAGTTGTGGGACTGGAATAAAGAATTTAAAAGATTCTCTTTAAATATGTTATATTTTTTTAAATAGACATATTATATACCTGGGCATAAAACTGCCAAGGAGTAGCTCAAGTTGAAGGTACAGGTGTCTTTAGGTTGCCTAACAGACCTTCAGTAATGCAAAAGTTTACTTCGTGCAATGAAAGAGCCTGGACCTTCAAGTTTAAGTACGCTTAGACATCTGTTTATTATTTGGATGTCCAGATGAGCAATGTTCCTTTCTTATGAGCAGTATAATCACATAATTATATTCTGTGCTCTAGTACTGAAGGCAATATTTACTGCATGCATATTTCTTTTGATTAAGTGCCCAATCCTATTCTAGTTAAGGTCATTGTTAGATGTGTTTTCTGTTTACTCACTTTAATGGAAGTTGGACAGGTAGATAGGTATTTCAGGGGGAAATTGTAGTTCCTATGGAGAAGAAATATAGATTTAAAAATGAGTTTACTCTCAGCAAGAGGAAACCTCATTTCAGATAATTTATGATAAAAATACCATTAAAATAATCTGCTTTTTTGTGGCTGTTTGGTAATACAGTGTGTGCTAATTTCATTTTATCAAAATCCTCCCAAGTGGCTCACAATGGAAAAAAAAATACTTGAAAATGTTTTTCTGGTAGATCATTTCTATTGCTCTTTTTCTGCCTTTTTAACATCGAATAGTCTCTTGCACCAGAGTTAGAAACTTCAATTATCTCAATAGGCACACTAGCAGCACAACTTAACGTTATTGTGGAAGAATTGGGCTGGTATAATCATAAACGAATCTCATCCTTCCATATCTTAGTCTGTGTTGGTGAGAATGTAAGCGAACATGCAGTAAATAGAATATTTTTACAGTCCCATGCTGAAAGTCAAGATTTTATATCATTAGTGAAGTTCAATCATCTCATTTATCAAAACCATTCTAGCCTTATCATTTCATGCATCAATAATGTTTCAGAGTCATGAATAAAAAGATGAAAATTAGGCTCTTGAGTAGTAATTATTTTATAGCTGCTGCTAATAGTCACCATTTCATGAGTTGAATTTAAAAGATCATTGTATACTTCTAAATAAGTTTAAACTGTATACATTTGCCAGGTCATCTAAAACCACAATTAAATAAATACGTTCTCAAAAGTATTTTAAAATCTATTCAAATTCCCTTAAATGGCAACGATACATTCCCAAAATCAAACACAATAAATTTTGATCTAATCTGTAGATAGCTAAAGAGAGGGTTCAGTATAGTTCTTTAACATTGAAACTTTCCAGTATACTGCTAGTATTGAAAGGAAAGAAAATAAATTTCATGCTTTTCAAATTACAGGGATTGAAATTATTTTAAATATTGAAGAAACAAAGGTTTCTCCTCTTCCACAGGACATTTGACTGTAGGTTACATGTTTACTCACAGGAGAGCATTTATAAAAACACATATGAATTCCAAATCTCCAGATACATATTCAACAGTAATTGCCTGATTTATGCTCTTCTAGAATTTTAATGATCTGACTATTTTTGCAGTGCTATATTTCCCTTGGTGCTTAAAAACCATTATAAGATAAAATAAGTAAGAAACAATGTTCAGTTCCTCAATGATCCATTTTAAAATGCTAACGACAATAAAGATAGCTAATATTCACTACAACTGACGTTTCTTATTTAGATAATCAGCAAGTTTTAATGGTACTTTATAATAGCTCTTTATAAGACAAAGGTACATTCTGAAGAAAAGATATAGACAATCAATAATATGAGACCAAGAAAAAAAACCCTCTTCAAGAAATATTACAATTAATGAGAAAACAATCTAAATATATATTGAAAAGTAACATAAATCCAATAGTATGTCCAACATATTGTTGGGCTATTGATTCGGCATTTAATTTTTTTTTAAACAAACATGAGTACTACATGATGTAAATTACATTATTCCTGATTTTCATGAGCATGAGGGAAGTGAGAATCAGGCCCAATACTTTGCATCCATGAATATTACTATAATGTGAAGAGCTATTTCAGCAAACAACTAAGCTATTACAAAACCCCATGTTGCTATAAAACATAGAAAGAGGGTCATGCAAACAAGCCTCAGTCCTGAGGGAATTCTGCAATTTTATAATGGCTCCAAATGCAAGAATAGCAGAATTCCCCCAGGACTAAAACCTTGTCCAGCACAGGCTGGAAACTAGAGACTAAAGATCCATTGGAACCTTTCAGAGTAATAATTTTTACAGAGGGTTTCTTATGGTGTTTTATATCACATTTTTCAGATTCTTTTCCCATGGAGGTTAGTTATAAACTCAGACGTTTTTATTAGGGTCCTCTTCAGCAAAAAAACATTTTTTCAGCCAAGATACATGCTCTTTTTCAAAAAACAGGAAATATTCCCTTAAGTCCTGAACTGGACTGCATCACAATCTATTTAAATCATTACTGCTATGCACACAGGACATACAGCAGCCAGACCCTCAATCTCTTAAGGATTTCCCTTGGCACAGTGGAACTCCCAAGGCACCATAGACTGGCATAACAGGTCAAAGAGTGCATTAGAAGAGGTATGTGGAGTGATGGATGTGGTCAAATTGATCTACATTCCTGTTATCCCAAGCTGCCCGATAGTCTCTTAGGTGCACTGCAACCCAGATGAAGCTGTTCTCAATTACAATGGAAGCCAAATGAGACCCTAGCAAAACGTACCAAGGCGAAATAAAGCTTTTCCCTTCTTCCACTGGGTTTTCTCTCCAGATACACATCTCTTGAGAGACGTAGCTCAAAACTGAGATCGAAGAGGCACAAATGATGGTAAGTCAGGCTTTGCCCCTTCACCGCAGAAACAACATTGGAAATGGAGGCAAAAACCGGAACTGAGCATGAATGCTGAAAACCAACAGGTGCCTCCTTAATATAATACAGGCAGTCCCCGGGTTACGTACAAGATAGGGACTGTAGGTTTGTTCTTAAGTTGAATCTGTATGTAAGTTGGAACTGGCATCCAGATTCAGCCGCTGCTGAAACTGATCAGTTTCAACA